TGGACGGTGTACCTGGGAGGGGCGGGAAGAGGAGGCGGGAATTGAGCATCCTGCAGGACCTCACAGCTGGAGCTCCCAAGAATGCCCTTGTAGGTAATATTACATCCGGAGCGAGTCACCCTGAGCTCTCCCAGCAACACCTTTCCTAGGTGTTCATGAAAACAGTGTGTCATGTGTACAAATAAATGCTTATGGTGCTTTTCACTATGGCCAGCGGCTTAAGGATTCAGAAAATGGCCATGGCCGGTGTGGCTCAGTTGGTTGAGCGACTCCCGCACCAAAGGTTGCCGGTTCTATACCTGGTCAGGGCACATGCCTGGGTTGCAGCCTGGATCCCGGGGCGGGGAGAGGGGGCGTCCTCTATATTTCTTCATCTCCCTAGCTCTCTCTATAAAATACATACTTAAGATTCAGAAAATGTATGAAAATACACAACCTAGCCTGGCAGGAAGTAGATGCTGCTTACGCCCTTGGCTCTAATGGGACTGGAACCCTAAGGAAAGCCTCTCCACCCGCCCCGCCCCCGCTCCGCTCAGTTGAGAGGGACAAGGTTAAACCGGCAGCCGGGAATGCCCTGAAGGGAAATATGGGTAACTTGCAAGCTACCTCAACTTATTCTTGGAAATATTTAAGGCATAAAAGACGGGCGGGGCTGGGTTCCTGTGCCCTTCTCACCTTGTGCGCACACAGGGCGCGTCATCTCTACCTGAGGGTCTGGGCTTTGGCCTCTGACAGCCCGTTTGGCAATGAGCCACGATGACTTCATTACACCCAAACCCACTCCGAGGAAAGTTTTTTGTTGTTATTGTTTCGATTCGTATATGTAATTTTCTCTCCAAACAAACGAGATCCCAACACGCTGCACAGGTTTTTATTGATTGATTTGAGAGTGAGAGAAACCTGCATTTATTGGTTCTTGCATATGCCCTCATCTGGGACTGAACCTGCAACCTTGCCGTATTGGGAGGACGCTCTAACCAACTGAGCTGCCCGGCCAGGGCCCACGCTGCACTTGAAGTCCTGCTTTTAAAATGTTCTATCTGCTGTGTCTTTAAATATTCGGTTTGAGATGGTGTGGGGTTTATAATGAGAATGCCTATCATTTGAAACCAGATTTTGCTACTTTGCGTCTCAGAAAATGTGGGGCTCCCGACCCGGGTCCCCTCCCCATCCGCCGGCTCTCTCGATGGTCCCCCTGCCCTTGCCTGGATGTGGGCGCGTGGCAGGGTTCGCGCCGGGGCTCGGAGCTGGAGGTCTGCTCCCTCCTGCTGGGTGGACCTATCG